CGAATGGCTATCACCCACCTGCGGCCTAACACGCAGGGCCTATGCCATTCTAGGCCATAAAAATCTTGGTGTACTTTTAATCTAAGTACGGCTGTAAATCCAAAGCGAACCTGCAAGATAATTATCCACAGCCTGTCTTTGTCCCTTCAAAATTGAAGCCATCCCATTCTAACAGACATGTCAATCCGAGACGCGAAAATGTTGACCTTTTCGTTAGGGTTATTGAGGTCACACAGCATTTTACTTCATTCGCCTGTTACATTTATGTAAAGCCATGACCATAGGCCTAGTGCAAAGCCCTAGGCGAACACATGCGCGTGCCTTTCCGGATCCATGGGAAACCGATGCAACGGAACATTTCCATCCATTTGGCCAAATTTCTCCTGGCATGGTGCGTAGGCGCAGTACTTGAATCCAGAGGCAGCCATATTTCACGCGACATTCCAATCCAATGATCCCATTGGTCAGTTCTGCGTAGTTCCGGGGCCAAACACCAGGGCAGGAGGTTTCCCCGACATCAAAGGCGCCGCCACAGAGTGCCCAGTCTTCTTAGTATAATATTCCAATCCAATGATCCCATTGGTCAGTTCTGCGTAGTTCCGGGGCCAAACACCAGGGCAGGAGGTTTCCCCGACATCAAAGGCGCCGCCACAGAGTGCCCAGTCTTCTTAGTATAAGGTCTTTGGCTCGAATCACCTCCTATTCCATCCACCAATTTTTATTAAAACGTCCTTGATCAGTGTGCAACTTGGGCAATACTGTACTATACTGTCATGTGCATTGAATGACCATGGCTCTTTTTCGCTTGCTGATAGTTGTATAAACCTTTTAATTATTAATGGTTTGGTTTGCCTGACCGTTTCTTCAGACCATTGGAATTCTTCTCGCCGAGATCTATGAGCTTCTTGTCAAACTGAATGCTTTCTGTAACCTGGGGTTGTGATGCACACCTGTCATCGCCTTGTACGTTCACCTGAAACCCACGACCCCGGAAATCGAAATATACAGGGTGTCCCATAAGCCTGGAATCATAGGCACACATTTACAAATATATGTATTATACAAATGTCCGATTCGCCGGGTACTTGGTGGTAACTATTGTTATTGTTTCTCCAGGTACACTGTGACAAAACCTCTGCTAGCTCATCCTTAGTGCCATTTCTTCAATCATCTGAAATATGATCTAACCTAATACATTACCTATGATTCCAGACTTATGGGACACTCCGTAGAGGAATTTAAAGTCAAAAATAGTAATACATCCTTCCACTTCTCATGATGAGGGAATATTTTGGCGTCAGTTTAGGGTCAGGGGCATAGTAAGGAATGCATTCAGTCGAGGGGGGGGGGATTGCCGATAGAACTCCGTTTTTTTTTTTTGCATATTGTATCTGGAATTGAACGTCTTCTATTTATTTTCTTCTGTTTTTAACTTTAATGAAGCCCAATAACTTTTTTAATGCGTGAAATCTGATGAGCCTTTGTTTCATGGAGTTCAAGAAGTTTCTTACCCTCATCTCCCCGTGTCTGCGCCACTGGTTGAGATTGAGAAGGGAGGAGGAAGGGGAATGAATTTTTCATGGTTCGTGCTTGCACGAAAGGAGTCTTAGCCTTACCTGTCCCTCCATAGGACCTATATAGACCTACGCACGTTTGGCTTTCTCCATCGCGTGCTCCGCATGATTGTATGGGGGTATACAGCGTCATCTAAAGCCATTCATATACAGTCCACTCTCGTACTTCTTATATCCAGGAAGGAAAGCTACCCCTATCGACCCGGGTATTGGAGATGAAACGCAAGGACGGAGAAAGGGGACTCCATTCTTTGTTTTTTGGGTTATTACGATGATACACGTGGCAGATTTGATCTAGATTATCTACTGATTTACTTATTCATCTGTGATTGGTTTGGATGAAGGTGAAGTTGGGGGGGTTAGGATTGATTTCCGTTGCCTTGTGAAGGTGCCTTTCCAGCTTTGGTTGTCAAGGTGGTGAAAGAAGTAGAGATGAATGGGGAAAGCGTATCGATCGGGGGCTGTGACGCTAGAGAATTTTTCTTTCGCAGCAATAATTGTGGTATTTGACGAGAAAGGATGGTTTTGTAATTGCGCACGTGGTCTGGTATATTTCATGCAAGTGATATTCCTTTCTAAGAAAAACGCCGTTCCTTGTTTCTGCTTGAGCTGGTATATTCCCTTTTTCCCCTTTGATTTCTCGTCATTGCATGGCGCAATGGCAAAAAATTCGTATTTTGGAAAGCGAATAAAGCTGCCTTTCGATAATACGGAATTTGCCGTTATTGCGGCTAGGGATAAGAAACAGTCTTGGCGAGAAAGGGACTACATCATGCATAAATAAATCATTCTTTATGCATGGACTCTTCGGCGTAGAGAGGAATTCATGGCTTCTTTCTTGTCATTCCGTCAACTGTTGGTCAAGTTTCTCATGCGACTTTGGGAATGAAAATGGAAAACAACCAATTGTTACTGCAAACATTGCTCGAGCATCCATGGGATTTGATTATTCTTCCTATTTTGGTCATTTGAGTCTCTGCAGTACTTTACTTCCATTTAGAAAACCTTGGAGGTATGTGCTGTAAAACATGAATGAGCAGCAAATTCACCTGTGTCCCCTTGTGGCTTGGATTTCATTGAGTGTGCAGAGACCCATAACTGCTTTTTTTATTATCTGGCTAATTAATGGGAATGGGGGCGGACAGGAGTCAAACCAAGCTGATAGATGAACATGTCAATGGATTAGAGAGACAGACAGACAAAGAAAGAGACCTTGTTGGCTCTTGAGTCCAAAGGATTGAATGACAAGGCAGGAAATGAAGAGCAAAAACATGGCACAAGTTAAAAGGCTTTCCCCTTCTCTGTATACCTCTTATACCGGGTGGCGCAAAAAATGCGTCATGTTTGACGCCCTATAAATTCCGTTGTGGATGATCTAGGTTCGTGATATTTTCATATTACGTTGGAAACACCACAAAATTTGTTTTCTGAAAGTTTCATGAACCTAAGTTGTCAATAAATATCGACGGTCGCCCAAAGTGGAGTTATAGAATTTACCTTTTCGCGCACAAGGAGGATGGAGTTTCAGGACCGCTCGAATGATTTCTCTACCTTGGCGTCTTAAATACAGCTTTTTATGCCAGTTCTCATCGTAGTATTCAACACATCTTAGAATAGTACTACTGTCGTACATCGTAGCATCAGAATCGATACCACGCAGAATACTACGGTGAGAACCTAGATCATCCACAACGGATTTTATAAGGCGTCAAAACACGACGCGTCTTTTTTGCGCCATCCTGTATAGGTATATGCAGGCATATCAAACAGTTCTAGGACCGGTCTTCATGCCAGCAAACTATGTACAGAGATAGGTTTCAGTATGATCCCCTTCGATTTACAGGGTGTTAAGAAAGTTGTGTCCCATCGCAATATGCTTATAACCTCAGCAACAAAAAAAAAACAGGAAAAATTTTTTAATGTACAATAACAAGGACAGTTATGTGGGCAATGCATGTCAAGTTGCAAATATAATTGTTAAGCAAGGTGTTAAACCGCATTAAGTTTTTTTATATTAACACTTTCCCTGGTGCAGGTGTGTTGATGTCCAGCTTTCCTTAACATTTGCCGACATGTACCAGGGAAAGGTTTAAATGTATTTTTACCCCAATTCCCAATCTTGCTAAATGTTAGAAACGTAATGTTGCCCAAGTTTCTCTCGAACAGAGAGGCTTGTAACAGGGTGGCCACAATGTTCTATTCATCCCTATCAATCTAAGTGTATATTGCATCTGTTTGGGCTCCACCATTGTCTGTGCTTAGTTGAATAAAATTTGACATTGCAGACAGCATTTGTTTCAGCATGATGTGACTCCAGTACATTTTGCATTATCTTTGTGTTATTTTTTAAGTGATGTCTTTCCAGACTGATGGATAGGTCATGGTTCTATAATATCCCCAGCACCATGGCTTTCCTGCAGCTCAGACCTTATAATGCTAGACAATTCACTACAGGGCATTATGTAGGAAAAGGTAACCACACACAATTATCAGAGTAGCAATGACTTATGAGCTGCTGTCATCAATGCCTTTGGTTCCATTACAAGACAAATGTTGCAGAGAATGTCCAAAAGAACATGGATATGCATTCAACTCTGTAAAGACAATAATGGAGCCCACCCAGGTGCATTGTACACTTAGATCTATAGGGGTAAGGAGACTATATGGTCACCCTGTGCATCTTGCTTTCCAATTTGACCTGGATCTGTTTAAGAAGGAAACCCCATCCTATATGCCTAGCTTGGAATTAGCAGGAAATTTTGGGTCCAAGTTGGTGTGGAGTGTCTTGCAAATCATGCAATATTCCTTGGGATTGCCTCATTTGTTTGCAAAGCCCTCCCAACTCCCCATCAATCTCATCCTCTTGGGTATTACTTGTTCATCTCTTCTCTGTCTCTTATTCCTTGATTCCCTTTGTTCTTCAAGTCCAATCCTGAACTGACCCCTGCTGACCTTGGGGTGACTATTAAGAATCTTGGCCAAAATGTTTCTTGAATTCTTCAATGTGCTTGTGTTTTTAGAGAGTTGGTATAGCAGCTGTTTAGGATTCTTCAGCTTTCTATATGTGTGTATGTGAATATTTCCTGGAATCCTGTAGACATAATATGATTCATTTTCCCATTACTTTTCAATGTGACTAATTTGACAGCTATCTGAGATTGTAGCTTTCTACTCAACACAGATTGGAAGTTTTGAAAATTTTACAAGTGATTCAAGAGATTGATAGACTTGACAATCTGTGTGCTACTTATGTCCCAAAATGATTGCTTGTTGGTTATGTCCCAAAGTTATCCATTTAGTTTATAATCTCCAACTAGAACCAGTTATTGAGTAAAAATATTTTCATGCTGCAAGACTGACGTGATTTTTATGGATATAGGTTTTATGGATCTTGTCAAAAATGAGTCCTTGACTATATGGTGAATAAGACTGGGGAGGCCTGGGGTGGAGGTGAAAATAAAGCACCCAAGTGATGCTGCAGTGATCCAGATTGTTTTTGGGGTGAATGATGGGCTACTCTGCTCTGCCCTCACTGATGACTCCATCTACTTATGGAACATACGGCAAAAGCTCCCTGAGATTGCCCATACCATCAAACTCAATCGGGAAAGGTTAGAAAAGTGGAGGGGTAACAGCAACAGCAACAGTTTTTCCACCCTTTTTCTCTTCTTTCTCTTGCTTTAAATAAGAAAAAACATTCCCAAGGCCTCTGTTATTTTCTCTGTAGAGGCCCAACCTAGAAGTTGGAAGCCTGCTCACTTTTGACATGCAAAAAGGCCAAATGTTTACTGAAAAGATCTTAATGTCCTAGTGCTAGCATTTTTCCTTTGTAATTTGTGGTAGATCCTTAAAGTGAGCCTGTTTTTAGAGATTTTAAATTTCATGTGGGCATGCTGGAATGATTGCAAGAGCATGCTTTCTTGCATCATTTGTTTTCTTTCTGCATAGGATGTCTTGAAACAATCTTGGGAGCTCATTAAATGGACATCATTTTACTTTTTATGTATAACTCTGGTGATAATAGTTTGTACCTAGCTTATTGGGAATGAATGGAAAAAGGAGTGCATAAGGATGCATCCATGCTTTTGTACTTGAAATTAATTGCAGAGTGACATACATCCACCTTCCTGTGAGGAGCAAATACCTGTATGTGGGGACTGACAAAGGAAATGTATACATCGTGAATGCCAGCACCTTTGAGCTATCTGGCTATTGCATCAACTGGAATAAGGCCATTGAAATGTATGTGTGAGTCCCTTGTCATCCTTGAATGTTTTAATTTCACTTCAGGCTCTTTTGTAGCAATTTTTTAATAACAAGTTGCCTGAGGTGTTCTTTGCTATATTTTATGTGACATATTCTGTCCATTTCAAGTAATGGTTCATGTTGGCTTTTTGAGGTACTCCCAACATCTTTCAGTTGTTGTAGAAGTGTACGATTATTTTTTTTTGGTTTCAAAGTTTTTAATACTGCTGCTTATTTTCTTTTGTGTTAACTTTGCTTTTTGTTTTTTGGTACTTATATGCATTTAGAAATCTCTGGAGATTGGAAGGGTTGAGAAATTGACATGAAGCCCCAAAAAGGGGGTGGGCTAATGTAGAAGTAGGGTGTGATTACCCAGAGCTGGATAGGACAGATAGAAAATGAGATTCTATCAAGAGGAGGAAGGAAGGAGTAGGAAGAAGTGCGCACCCCCTCAATTAAAATGCAGAACCACTTCCCCCCCAGTCCAAATGAATCCTCCCCTCAATACCTCGTTTGCATCGTTTTCCTTCCTTCCTTTGGTCCTCTTCTTCATCTTTTTCACCTTCTGTCAAACCTGTGCATTTTCCTTCCGTTCAATCCCAATCATGACTGTCTTTGTACTGGCTACTTAGTGAGGTTTTTGAAAATTTGCATTTTTAATATGTTGGTATTTTCTATTACTGTACTGTTATTATGGGGTGAGCCAAAAGAAAAACATTTTTCGGTTATCTTTAGCGCTTCACAGAGTAGTTTCTTGAGAGTTTGAAAATATTTCGATAGCGTCTCTATATAGAACATTTATTTAGCTTTCCACTGCTGTCAAAAGATATCAGATCCATTCCGTCATTCCGATGCAGTTATGCACAGAAAAACAGAGGTGACGCTTGAAAAGTGCACTTACCAGTATCCCTACAAGATGTGCTCCAGTTGACGTCCATTCCTTCGCTTGCACATTTGCAATCTTGCCAAGGCGTTGTTCACACGTCCAGCGCCACCTCTTATACTCTTTATCCAACTGCATGGAAGTTATGCTACGAATCTTTATTCTGTTGACATCATTGGAAAGCTGAATGAAGGTGCTATACGGAGGCACTATTGCAATTTTAGCAAACTCTTGGAGACCAGTGCTGTGGAGTGATAAAGATAACCAACTTTTTTTTAGGCCCACCCAGTATAATATAATACTATATTCAGTATTTACTACTACAGGACATTCAAAATGTCATGCAACCCATGCAGTTATGTTCAGTTGTATGTACTGAGGTAAACAAGCAATGTCAAGAAAGCGTTACTTCATCACCATGTTCCATGACAGTCAACTCTGAGTAGTGCATCAGGATGGTTCGGCAGTTTGTTGAAGAGTGTGAGGAAGCATGCTTTCAGCAGGATAATGCAACTGTTCATACCCCTTACGCAGTGATGGAGCACTTCGTCAGTTTTTATAGAATGCCTGGAGACACTAGTCGTAGCAGGCCTATCTGTTGGACGTCGGGCATCGCGTTGGTTACTGTGAATCTGGATGTTAAAATTAATGCAGTTACGATGGTAGTTTTGAATGCGTCGACCTGAATCATCAATGTAGCATTGATGCAACGGAAAACTATATCTATAGATATGAGTAAAGGGGAGAGGGAAGAACGGAAGCATTCCCGGACGAAATTTTTGACCTTGAGGTGAGCCTTGCATGATCTGAAGTCTATTCCGTGCGCCCTTTCGTTATAGATGGAAAGAATTATCTGAAAAGGAACCTATTTTTTCTTTCGCTATAGTGTTTCCGGAATGACTTTATTATAATTATATTTATAATGAGGAGCCCATGTTAACATGGGCTCCTCACTTTTCTATGGACCCCGCCGGCGGTTCAGCAAAATACAGGGTGCCCATAAAGTGACTTCCTATGGCCAACTTTTTATATACTGAATTTGGGGGAACTAGTTTTTTAGTTTCTGTAGGCTGTTTGTAATTTGACCTCGAAATGGTGTCACATCTTTTTCTCCTACACTCTAGCGTGACTGAGAATACATTTACCAAACCTTTATTTCAAAAACAGGTTCAGATATATGGAGTGCAGCATTCCTAATTGTCAGCCAGGGCAAATGTCCTCCACGATCTCCGGATTTTGACCCCTTGCGACATTTTTTTTCCTCTGCGGCTACTTGAAAGTAGGGCTGTACCGATGGCCACCTTTAGGCGGTGGGCCGATGGCCGATTGTCATCTCATAACCATCGGCCGGTGCCAGTGCCGATTGTTGTCTGAAAATTGAGAAGTAACATGAAAATGCACGTGATACTTCTCAGGGGAGCCCCTAAAAACGATAGAGGCCATATTTAGTACTGTCTGTGTCCATCAGTGGTTAGCTTGTTACCTATTGCTGCTGTTAAGAGTGTTTAACGACACTTCTCTAGCAAATGCATAACATGAAAGGAGAGACTATGGTTTTCCTTCTTTACCGCTATTTTCCTCCGCCAGTTCTTAGAATAGAGCTGAAATATAATCCGATCGATATTTTTCGGATTCACAAGTTCACTCAAATTTTTTTTTCTTAAGTTTTACCTGTAAGTTTAGCCTCTCTTTAGACATCGGCAGCTTCCAAACCGGCCGATAGCCGATGGCGCTGGCAGCCGATTCCTGTGGTAGCCGATGCATCGGTACAGTCCTACTTAAAAGGCATTGTTTACAAGGACACGCCCACAGATCTTGAACAACTTGAAGATCTCTCATGTCGTGCCGGAAAAGTGACAGAATCCTCATGGATGTTGCCGACAATGCAATTTCCAGGCTTCAGAAATGTCTAGAAATCGGCCGTAGACACTTTGAGCATTTGTCTGGTAAATCCATTGTATGGTATGCATTTCTCTGGTAAATTCATAATTTTTATTATTTTGAATTCCCAAAACCCTCTATTATTCAATTAATACCGTGATACCTACAAGAAGTTGTTGCAATGAGGTCTAAGGGCAAAATTATCCTCAAATTCGGTCTGAATTTCTTTCCCTTCAAATGAATGAAAAAATTGTAAAACACCAAACGTGGGAAATTAATTCTCGGCCGTGCCAAAATAGGAGAAAAGATCTGATCCTATTCCGAGGTCGGTACGTTGGCAGTCTAAAAAAGGTAAGAAATGGCTACTTCAGAGTCCATAATAAAAAAGTCGCCTATAGGTAGTCACTTTATGGACACCCTGTAGTTCTTCCAACACGAATATGTCAAACTCAATTAGGCTGGGGGTCAGATGGATCCCTTCGAGGAGGGCCGAGGGCCACGCCACATAAATAAATGCGCATTTTCTTACCCTAAATTTTGAAGATGAAGAAGACGCTTGACAGCGTTTTTGGGAAACCAACTGCTGGAATCGCGGCTGAAGGTTTGTGGTGGCGAGTTGCATTATGACACGAAGATTGCTATCCGTCAGTCTGCTTCGACATGCGGTCTTATTGGCCTTCATCACTGAGAAACTTTGCTCGCAGATGTACGAGGTATGTGCTCCCGAAGAGTGACATCATTTTAGCAGCATGGGAGCACAACTTCGGGAACGTGTCTTGGGGAACATAAGAGTAAAAATGCTCCACTCCACCGTCCTTGAACTTTTCTTTGAAGTTTCGTTGTATTGGAGTTCGATCGCCTCCATCTGCATGGATTCAGTCACGTTATCCACATCCACTGAAAATGGATTGCCAAGTAATCGAAAATCTTCATTGCGTGCCACGAAATCGACGAAGCGCGACTTGATCTCCTCCTGGAAGGTACTAAGCGTGGAAGCATACCTCTCTCCTGAAATATTATGATCAGGATGCTCCTCCATTATCGTTTTACAAATGGGAAAATGAGAAAAGTTGAATGAGCGAAGCTGACGATTCCAAAGGCGCAGCTTGGTCTGAAAAGCTTTCACGTGGTCGTACATAACGTTACCAATTGCTTCCGACCCTGCAGCTTGGCATTGAGATGGTTGAAATGATTGCACACATCAACCAGAAATGCGAAGTCGAAGAGCCAGTCCACATTCGAGAGTAAATCAACGATGGAATGATCTTTCTGTTCCATGAACACCTAAATTTCCTGCCTCGGTTTAAAAAAAAAAAGATTCAAAACGGCACCTCGACTTAGCCAACGAACTTCGGAGTAGTACAGAAGATCACCGTACTGTGCATCCAGTTCAGACTTCGAGCTTATTTTTGTAGAGCACAAAAATGTACTTCCCAGTCCAGTCCTCATTGAAACCACGATTTTCGGCGTCCACCTTCCTCCTCTATCGATGACTGATGAATCTCTTTCACAAATTGAAAAACCAATAGCTCCAAAAATGTTTCACCAGAAACACCCACCGCAAGGAACTCGTTTCGACTGTCTCTTAACTCGGGATTTTCGTTCCCAGGAAAAAGTGATTAGGCCTACCCATGGTGCCTAGCTTTTTTTTGCCCCAACTCATCTTAGGGAAAGGTGCTGTAGATGTGCCTGCAGGGCACTGATGGGACTTCTCCAGAGGGAAGACGCAGAATCCTCGCTTTTGTATTTCGGCTATCGAAATCCCAATCGTTTTTACCCCGCACTTTCCGCAGCAGGATCTCGGGAGATTGCCCCCAGTGCGTATTTTTGGATCCCATGACTTTTTTCCCACACTCGAAACAAGGCTATTACAGTGTTTTTCACTTCAGTTTTTCACAATTTTTCACTTGACTAAGACACCGATGCGAGGGGTATTCAGAGAGGAGGCGAGGGCGCTGGTGCCCCTGGTGACTAGCGACATCTTTCTTTCCTTCGAATATTTAGGTATTTCAATATATTGTGTATTAGGGAAGGTTCATATTGGTTTTCCTCTCTTCAGCAGGAAGTTTTCCTCTCTTCATCATCGTTGTCGTCAATGTCATCACGACATCTGCACTGAAGTATGGAACTCCTAGTTTCTGCGTCGATCCGCTATATCACCCTCACCATGCACCGTTGTCGAAGTCAAGTGAAAAAATGTCTAACTCAAGTGAAAAACACTGTACAGTATGAG